TGTTGTAAAACTAGGCAAATATCTAGATGAGTTGATGTACCCCCAGAAGACCTCTGCATACCCCTGTTGGAAAACCACTGCTCTTAAGGGGCTGGAAAGCCTCAGCACAAGCCCCTTATAGTGATCTGGGGTAAATCCCTAACTCACCACAGCTGGACCAGCCCTGCCCCCTGGTAATCCCCACACTCAGGGCGTACAGCTGTGGCCTTCCCCTACTCAGGAGAGAGAGTTAACCCTCTCCCTCCCGACGCCAGCCCACTCTCCCTCCCTCGCTCTGTCCCTGGGGTTGCTCACCCACCTTGTGACCAGAGAGCAAGTGTCAGAATTCCGAGGCCCTGCTCCCCGGAGCTGGGCGCTGCCCAGCACCTGCCCACGCAGCACTCGCTGGCCCTGCATGCTCAGCGGGCTGAGGTGCTGAGCCGAATCCCTCATTCACAGCTGTGACAAGCCGGTGCAACATGCTGCTGTTCTGGTCTGGCTGCATTGCACACCCACTTGGCCCAGGTGTAAGTGAGGACATGAGATGCCAAGCAGGGGAAAAGCAGACCTGGCATGTCAGCCCAGTCAGCCACCCCCTTCGGGGAAGGTGCATGAGCTAGCTGAACGGCTGTTACTCCTGGGTGCACCTGGATGTGATCGCTTGGATGAACAGACAGGCTCTGCCTTTGTGTCACTAGCACAGGGCCACAGTGCTGATGTGCAGCAGAACTCGTAAAGGGACCCCGTCAGGCCGCAAATGTGAATCACCGTCACATTGTTATAATGCGACGGAGAATGTCGGTCTTTGGGTTTAATTAAAGGACAAGTCACAGTGGCTCACACACAAGCGTGTGGGCACACGCACGCACATAGGGGTGGACTGACGCCCAGGCCAAGCTCTCGCATGCACAGATCCTTGCACGGAGGTGCACACACACACACACACACAAAGGCTCACACCCACCCACAGGAGCACACACACTCTGGCTGGATTACGTCATCTCCCATGATGCACTGCGGTCTGGTGACTCCCACGAAGCAGCGTCATGGTTCAACCAGGGGGAAACTTTTGCAGAAACTGCACACAGGAGAAACATTTTGATAGAAACTTACCAGCCAAAGTCAAGAACAAGTAGAAAGCGATCCCACCCTTTAGCCAATGGGAAACTGCACTTTGGACCTGGGATGGGGCTCCCACTGGCACTGATCCACTGGGCTGCTTCCAGAGTGGGCTCAACCCCTGCCCTTTGTTTCCTGGAATAGGTGGCTAGTGGCTCAAGCGTTCATCGTTCACCTGTGGGATCTGGGTTTGGTTCCGACAGTGCCCCAGCTTATGAGGGTCCCAGCCGAGCCCCTGCCGGATGGTGGATTCCAGAACCCACACTTACCTCCAAAACAAGCCAATCCACTTGTGAGGCTGAAGCATGCAGTGACTGCACCTTGGTCTGCTGGCAGCACGCCGTACAGTGCTCTGAGATGCCGGGGTGCGAAGCACCATGAGCCAACAGGGAGACTCGTGACCCGGCCAGAGCCCTGCCCGGTGCTGGTTCCAGAGGCGGGCAGTGCATCACAGACAGCTCTCCCGAGCTCAGTTCAGTAGCTGGCTTCCCACCGCTCTTGTGAAGGACCAAGCAGCAGCAGCTGAGCTGCACAGGCATGCCCTGCGGCCCGGGGATTTCCCCCACATACTGCACCCCTTTTTTAATTTCTTTAGTGGGCAGGCAGGGTCCTCACTCTTTGGGGAAGAGTCATCATGCCCCAGTGAATTACAGCGAATCTCTTACTCCACTGGGAGGGCTGGGATCCTCCAGGCATCTGCAGCTCAAAGACAAGGAGACACTGGCAGCTTGGAGGAGAGTGTTTCAGTCCATTACAAAGAAAGCTGTGAGTTCCCGAGTCCTCCACGTCACCCTTTAATGTTCCCAGCAGTAAGAAGATGGGCTACAGAAAGCCAATTACAAGCAACCTTTCTGGCTGCAGAGGAAAATTCAAGGCTAAATGCACATTCACTGCCACTTTCCTAATAGGATCTAATCACACAGGCGGCTAATGCTTCTCAGGGAAGGGGGGTTAATGCTGGTTCCTGACATGTACAGCTTGGATTAAATCCTATTTGCACCCAGCACTGGGGATGCCTCCCCCACCACACACACACAGACGCATGCAGAGAAAGAGACCCACACCCCTCCCCTCCTCCTTGCCATTCGGATTATTGCCCCTGAAAATTTGAGTAGACACATAGCCCCATGGTTGGTTTATTATTCACCAGGAGAGGTTCTTGCTGGGTGCAGTGAGATGCAGGGGACCTGATTCTTCTCTCACTCACCCCATTGTGAACTGGGAGTAACCTCACTGAAGTCAAAGGGGTGACACCAGTTCCACACCAGTGTAAGAGGACCATCAGGCCCAGGGAGGCCAGCTACTTGTCCTGAGGGCACAGTGCGTTGGGTCAGAGCGGTACAGGAAAACCAAGAAAGAATTCTTCCACTCCCAGCCCTTTGCTAGAGCACAAACACCTCCATCCCAGAGCACCCAACAGCCCCTCTAAAAGCTGCAGGAGATCCCAGTATCCCACAGCATGCTGGGGCACCGGCCCAGTGCCTGAACTGGCCAGCCTACCCCTTGGCTAGAGAGTGAACACTGTGGGCCCAGGTCTGACCTCACACTGGTCTTACCCCCTCGCTCCATTAACAATGGCATGGACACTGGCATGGCTGAGAGGAGCATCGGGCCCCTCGCGTACCAATGTCTATGAAGCCAAGCAGGCAGGCGGGTTTCCAAAGGAAACTCATCTGTGGGTCACTCACTGCCCACGATACTCCCCCCGGCTGGTGGCAGCATGCACAGGTGCGCCAGCAAAGGGGATCTGTGTGCCACACCCAGCAAGCCGCTCTCTGCTCTCTCCCTGCACAGCCAGACAGATGCGGCCCTTTGTGCACTCAACCTGAGATCCCAGAGGGCTGCATGGTACACAAACCCTGCAACATTTCCCATTACATTTTCCATTCTCAGGGTGTTTTGTTTTTAGTGCATGTTTGTGTTTAAGGGCAAGGGGCCAGGATAATACAGACTGCAATTCCTCCAGTTTTCAGCCCAGTGTGTCCTGCCGGTGACCTCGAGCCTGGCCTGGGCCCCTCCTCCAGAGGGCAGCATGGTCCAGTGGACAGGGCACCGGACAGGGAGTCAGCAGACCTGAGCTCTCAACTCAGCTCCTTCTCTTTAGGCAGGTCACTCCCCTGCCCTGGCTTATGGTGCTGACCAGGCTCTTGGGATGAGAGGTACTACCTAAGAGCTGGGCATTGTTATTATGGGGCACGTCACGCTCCAGCATCAATGGGTATTTTGCCCTTGTGCCTCAATGCTGCTGTTCGCTTCTTCTTGCTGGCTGGCTTGATCTAGGACTGGGTCAGGGTGAGTCAATCCCTCCGCAGCACCAGGTGACAACACATTTCAGGTCAGAGGCACCACCCCAGCTAGTGCCGATGCTGTGAAGTGTAAGGTGTCAGACACCAGCCAGGTAAATGCTTTGTCTCCTCCCCCTTGTCTGGCTAGACTGCGAGCTCGGCAGGGCAGGGATTGTCTCCAAGGCCTTGTCTTCACACAGGTGCACTGTTTTCATTCGTGCTTTAGATATGGACTTAACTTGGTGTAACTTGTGTTTCCAGACAAAGGCCTTGTCCTGTTTCTGGACAGAGCCTAGCACAACAGGCTCCAATCCCAGCTGTGCTTTCCAGGTACTTGGCTTAGGAAAACATCATGGCCATGCTGTCCGGCTCAGGGGTTCACAAAACATGAGTCAGGCCCCTAGCCTGCGGGACAGTAAAAAGGATGGGGGAGGGGGAGTGTCTTTCTGTTCACTTTGTGCTTTCTAAGCATTTGGGGTCCCGTTCTCTGCAAACAGGAGTGCGAGAGCTGGCTCTGGCCCTGTCCGATGACAGGACACTGGGCTAGATGGGCCATTGGTCTGGCCCCGTCTGGCCGTCCTTAGGAGGGCATGGAGGGCAGCTTGGAAACTGACTCCTGATAGGTGTAACAGTCAGATAGCCAAGAAACAGAATCCAACACTGATTATATGTAAAAAATCTGGTTTCTGGGGCCTGACTCATGCTTTTGGAGCATTGTTAACACTGGGTTCTGCCATGTAGCACTCACTCACACGGTTCCTTCTGGCCAATCACCTGCTTGGTGTGTTTTTAAGGCAGCTCCCATTAAATCTGGAATTTTCTACCTTTCCTCTGCTCCTAAACTTCTGCGGAAGTCACAGATTTCCCCCCCCAGAATTCCAGCTAGTTCATATAATCCTGTCCATGACTAGAACACACATTGTGTGGTATCTGGCACTGCAGTAGTTCACCTCCACATCAGCAGCCAGGTGAAGGGCAGTGGTGCTGGGACAGACAAAAGCAGGACTGCTTGGGCAGGTCATTTTGAAACCATTTAAAAAAAAACCCCACCAGATATTCCTACACGGTACAGAAACCTCATCTACAAACCATTCAAATGCCCTCCACTGACAACTGCGAGAGGCTATGATGACATGGGCCGTTAGCTGCAGAGGCAGCTACGTGTGGACGCTGAGCCATGAGTTTAACAGAACTACGCGTTGCTGCCCACAGGAATGGTGAAGGGCAGCCCTGTGGCTAAAGCATTGGGCTGACCTGGTTCTGCCACTGACCCCCAGGGTGACTTTGGACAAGTCACTGGCCCTCTTTGGGGAGAATTATCCTTCCTTTCTCCCAGCCTGCGTCCCTTTAGACAGGGAGCTCCTCAGGGCAGCCTCTGCCTCTGACCAGGGCTTGGTGCAGCCCCTCGTCCTACGGAGGGGCCACTAAAACGCAAGGAACAGAATGCAAAGGGGCTGAACCATGTGAGTTTCAGCCTTTTCCCTTCCAGTACCATGTCTTGCAGCACTGACCTGCCTGTCCACCCGGGTTCTGACACGAAAGACTCGGAGAAAGCAGGCCTGACGTTTCCATTTACAAGACAACAAGAATTGCATAATTTAAAGACAGAAGGGACCTGTCAGTGCAGGACTGTGCCTTATAGCATGATTTTCAAGTGCTTTGTCAAGTCCAGTTTTAAATGTCTCAGGTAATAGGGCTTCTGCCACTTCCCTTGGGAAAGTATTTCACCAGCTCACAGGTCTCACCATTGGGACATTTCCCCTGGTATTCTGCTTATATTTCCCATCTTGGTTGTTGGCAAAATGAATTGACTTTGAAGTTCTGGAGGCACTGTGTTTTCAGGGCTTCAGGGCAGCACCAGGTCATAAATCCTCCGGACAGTCCATACTCAAAGGGCGATCACTGGCATTTCGCCCTGTGACAGCAGACCAGCGCCGAGGATCTAGCTGCACCTGGAGCTGTTAGCAGGAGAAGCCACAGCCCCACTAGATGCCTGCCTCATCCTTAGTCACTCTCACTCTGGGAAGAGAAAAGGGAGGAGAGCACTGGTTAGACAGGAAACACCAAAGCTTCAAGCAGCACGCTCCAGGGTTGTGTTGATTTCCATGATGCACCACAACTGCCCGTAACCCTCTGCATAGGCAGTGGCACAGAGGCAGAGTGGTGCTGCGGGGAAGGAACGTTTTGGTCAAAAGGCACTGAGTCAAACCCCAGTCTTTGGGGAAGCACCAGGGGATCTGCAACACCCACAGCGGGCAGGCAGGGTCCCGGGAAAGGCTGGTGCTCAACATGGCTGCCTGGGCCAGCCTGGAACCCGCGCCTTTGCAGAGTTATTGCAGCCCGAACCCCGTTTTCCTAACAACCTGTCTGCAACGCCATAAAGACAATGGGAGAAATCCTGCCTTCAGGGATGCTGTAACTCCCCTGAGCTAGACACCGTCACTCTGGATTTACAGCAGTGGGACCAAGAGCAGCATCTGGCCCACTTAGCATTTCAGGGGATGAAGCTTTCACCCCATAACTCCCGATGAGCCAACGTAAGGCTCTAGCACTCGCACTTTTCCTCACTTCCCTCCTTGCTGCCTCTGTCTCAGCAGGGGCTCCCAAGCCAGGACGCAAGCTGGAGGTGAGGCGTGCGCTCTGCCAAGGGCCTGCGGCTGATGGCAGTTGCAGCACAAGAGTCAAGCCACCAAGGTCCTTCACGTTTGTTTGGGAGCCATCTGGAAAGCCTCTGCTCTCGCCAGGGTGACCGCGGCATTCGCCTGCACACATGGGGCAGAGACAGGCACTTTCCCACTGGAGCTCAGTCCTGAGGCCAGCTCACCTCCATTTTGCTGTGAATCCAGCTGAGGAGCTCTGTAACTTGAGTGTAAACCCCGGGCTTGTTCTTCTGGCCACAGCCAATTCCCCAGCTCGTCACTCCGGCCACGTACCACCGGCTGTTATCCTCGCAGACCAGGGGGCCGCCGCTGTCACCCTAGAGCGGGAAGGCAGAGTCAGGAGAACTCGGAGGGAGACCCCGCCGTGCACTCAGTTTGCACAGAAGTCTCGGGTCACTGCACAGCTGGTGCACACTCCAGGGTGCCGCCGGGTGCAGTGCCCAGAGCACAGCACGTCTCCAGGAGCAGCTTGACCACACGTCTGTGCTAAGACGGGGGGTGTCTGTGGATCAATGTGGTGCCCACCCCCTCTAGCCAACCCCCACCCCTGCTTAGGCTGCAGGCCCTTCCAGACTAACATTGGCAGAAACCTCACCTGGCACGAGTCCCTCCCTCCTTGCAAGTACCCTGCACACATCATGCGGGGGGTCAGCTCGCCTTGGTACACGCTACTGCTGTTGCAGATCTTGTAGTCGATCAAGCCCACTTCCGCCTCCCGCAGCTTTGGGGAGGTGTTCTCTGGAACAGTGACAGAAAAGGGACAGGTGAAGCAGTGCCCTTGGCTTGCGCACAGAAAGCGAGTCCCTAGCCACCTGCTGTCACCGCTAGATCGCAGGCTGCAGGCCCCCGGCACATCACAGCCGTAAGTGAAGGTGCCACAGGGATCACTGTAACGTACGACTGCACTGAATACCGAATGGCTAGGCAGCAGTTCTGCGGAAAAGGACCTAGGGGTGACAGTGGACGAGAAGCTGGATATGAGTCAGTAGTGTGCCCTCATTGCCAAGAAGGCCAATGGCATTTTGGGATGTATAAGTAGGGGCATAGCGAGCAGATTGAGGGACGTGATCGTCCCCCTCTATTCGACATTGGTGAGGCCTCATCTGGAGTACTGTGTCCAGTTTTGGGCCCCACACTTCAAGAAGGATGTGGATAAATTGGAGAGAGTCCAGCGAAGGGCAACAAAAATGATTAGGGGACTGGAACACATGAGTTATGAGGAGAGGCTGAGGGAGCTGGGATTGTTTAGCCTGCAGAAGAGAAGAATGAGGGGGGGATTTGATAGCTGCTTTCAACTACCTGAAAGGGGGTTCCAAAGAGGATGGCTCTAGACTGTTCTCAATGGTAGCAGATGACAGAACGAGGAGTAATGGTCTCAAGTTGCAGTGGGGGAGGTTTAGATTGGATATTAGGAAAAACTTTTTCACTAAGAGGGTGGTGAAACACTGGAATGTGTTACCTAGGGAGGTGGTAGAATCTCCTTCCTGAGAGGTTTTTAAGGTCAGGCTTGACAAAGCCCTGGCTGGGATGATTTAACTGGGAATTGGTCCTGCTTCGAGCAGGGGGGTTGGACTAGATGACCTTCTGGGGTCCCTTCCAACCCTGATATTCTATGATTCTATGAATGAGCTGTTTGTACTACAGAATCCCACAGCAGGCAGGTCGCTGGCTCTTAGCCGTGCCCACAGAAAGGTATTCTCTGAAATCGTATGCCCTGTTTCCATCATTCAGACCACTGGGCTTCCTCTCACAGACATCTTCATGGTGGCTTCACAGATTAAAGTCACCTTAGCAGAACTGGCCACCAGCTTCAGGCATGTTCACTGTGGGGGTCCTCAGATCAGGACCTGTAGGGCCCTGATATTACAGAGGTGCTGAGCCCCCCTGGACTTCCATCAACAGCATCTCAGCGCCTCTGAGAATCAGGAACAGCAGGTCTCAGGTTGCGCCCCTCAGAACTGAGGCACACAGAGTCATTGGCCCAGACTGAAAATTCTGGCTCCCCCGTACCCTGTAGCACGAAGCATAGCTGCCTTTTCAGGCCTCCCCCATGGTGCTGCCCGGCTGGACTGAGGCCACAGCAGGGCATGTGGCCCCTCCCCAAAGGGAATTCAGATTCAGTCCCCACTCTCACCTTCGTTCTCACTGGTTTTGCCAAAGCCAGTGATGAAGCACGTCCTCCCAGCCTGGAATGTCTGGCCAGACATCGGGAGACAAGCGGGGCGGACCTGCCCTGGGAGAGAGGAAAACACCAAACAAGGAAAGAGAGTGAGCCTGACACGCACCAGGGAATAGCTGCAGTCACTCGTATTCCAGCAGCCTCCACAGGGAGCGTTGTCGTCTGAAGGACCTAAACTCGGGTCTTGTCTCACTAACCATCTGTCAATGGGTGGCCCCCTGGAGTGCCCTCCTGTGGCAGGCCACGGCAGAACTGGTGCATCTGCCTCAGTTTCTCCTCTCAGGTAACCCAAGGACTCTGCCAGGCTCTCCTGCCTTGGGCTGATTTATTACAGAAGCATAGTGTAAACAGTCCCTTTATCACCCCAGTGCAAATAGTCCTTCAAATCACATAGCCTCTCAGCCACTGACAGAACACATGCCACCTTCCGGCGTCTTCCGCTACACCAGACTCTGTCAGCCCTCCTATGTCCCTCAGCCAGGACAGGCACCCCAGCCCTTCCAGCTGGACTGCACCCACTCTTCCCAGCCTCTCTGCTGGGAGATCATCCACTCCAGGGAGCGCCCATCGCGCCCCTTGGCCCCCTCACTGGTCCCCGGGGTTCAGCTCTCCAGCATGCAGATGTCAGCGGGTAAATTTCTCCGCTGCTCCCACACCTGAAGCCCTCTCCGGTGTGGGGAGGTCAGCCAGCAACCCCCTCTTGCTGCTTTCCTGCCTTCCCCCACGATACACCTCCTGGCTCTGGCAGCTCTCACCTGCCCCTTTTCCTGACCCTTGCTCAGGCAGCTCTGATTCACCAGCCCTTTCCCTCAGATTGTCCCTGGTCCTTCACTGTCCAGGGGCTGCCCTGCCCCCTTGCCTGGCCCAAGGGGAGCAACTGTTCCGGCACAAAGGATCCAGGGCCAGCCACCCCGTGACATCCTCACTGTGACCAAGCCAAGCGAGAAGGCTCAGCAAGCATCGGCCTGGGGCGCACCTCCCCGGGGGCTGGGAGGCATGAGGCCCATGCCCGGTGTGCTCCAGGAGCCCCGCACTAGCCCACACCACGTGGCAATGGCTGTCAGGCTGGTTCCTTAGCACTGGACGGAGCCGTTTTCAGATTACACGGAGGGAGGGGAAAATTCTTGGCTGTAATAGTGTTTGGACAGCGCTTCCAGGGGGTGCATTCATTGGTGCTATTCGAGTCTCATTCCCAGGTCATCTGCCCAGCATCCCATTAGCCAGACCCTAAACCGATCTCCATAAACATGCCTACGAAGACCCCAGGACCCACTTTTACAGGTATAAATCAAGAGATGTTCTCTGTATGACTCAGCAGTGCAGGACTATTCACCCCACATGCCCATGGTGCCCAGGGGGGATGACAATAAACACCCATTTAACGGCTCAGCAGTACCCCCTCGGCCTTCTGTCTGCCCGGTGACGGCTGTCAGCCCCGGTCCTGCCGCCGGACGTGCAGAGGGTCCCTGTGCCTGCATAAAGCCCCACTGTCACCCTCAGGCTCTGCAGGGAGACGGTCTCTGTGTGGGCATGCTCAGTACAGCGCTGTGCACCAGCTGGGCCTTACCCTGATTACAGGCAGAAAAGTGCCTGTGTAAAACCGGCACCTTCTTACCGACGGCATCTGGCTCCCCCCTGCTTCTCATGTGTCTTGGAGTCAGACCTCATTGCCCAAAGACGCTTAGCCCCTGCCTGGCCTGTGGAGCCGGAGACGCTCTGGCTGGCCAAGTCAAGCAGACGCACAGGCCCTGCAGCTCCCAGTCTGAGGAGGTTGGGAATTAGCCTCACCCGATATCGTTAAGGGCGTGGCAAGTTTCACCAGCGCGATGTCGTAGTCGTCATAGTCATCGCTGTAGTTGGAGTTGATGATGATCTGGGAGGTGGGGATGCCCTTGGCAGGATGAAGCAGGTTGGAGGCCCCGGCATACACTTTCCACTCATTGAGGATCTTCACGCTGTTCCTAAGCGGATGTAGAAAGGGGGATGTAACGCAGGGACTGCCCTGAACAGCAGGGCCAGATTCCAGCCTCCCTCCAGCACTTAGTTTCAAGGACTGGAGTTAAAAAATTGGCATGAAATGCTCTCTCCCAGTTTTGTTCAGCTCAGACCCCGCTCCCTACCAACTTCTCCACCATGCCAATTGAGGTTTGGGTTGCTCAGCCCAATCCAAGCAGGACTTATGTCTGAGCCTGACCGGTATACGCAGGTCAGTGCTTTAATTCGCCCCCTTCAAAGGCAACGTCCCTGTTCTCTTATCTACAGCGCAGGTCTCAGCTGTACATTCTGCACAGATGCGGATTTCTTATTCCAGCCATTGGCCCCGACGTGTGTGTTTGCTATGGGCTTTCTGTCTGCGCGCCCCTAGCCGTGGATGCATCCACCTTAAAATGATTACATATAAACCGAGGGCCTGTGCAAGGACTGTCTACTGGTGTGCACGGAGAGCTGCAGCGGCCCCAGGAGCCGGACTGGGCTGGAACACAGCTGTGATCCTGCCCTGTAGTGGCTGGCAGCTAGTGGAAATTCCCTGTTAGCTCTTGTGGTGGAGCTTCCAGTTTGGGTCCAAAGTCCCAGCAGAGAGAGAGAGCCAAATTCTGATCCCAGGTGACATCAGCGTTGATCCATAGTGACTCACGCTCCAGCGGAGTCTGTCTGCATTTCAACCCTGTGACCGAGAGTGGAACATGGCTCCCGGTAACTCCCATCTTCTGTTCTCCTCACCTAGGCCTTTCCCGCCATCAGCCGCAGCTAAACCAACCCTTGCTGGCTGCACCCAACACAGCCAGTTAGCAGGCATACCACTTACATGAAGAAGCAGTGGGCAGCTGTCAGCACCCACTGGGTATCAATGACTGTCCCCCCGCAGATGTGGCTCGGCCCGTACTGGAGACTAACTTGCCAGGGCCACTTACTCGCCGAAGCTTCGTTCCCCCCAATGATCCGGCCAGAAGTCCTTTGTCCACAGCCTGAAGGAAGAGAAACAAGCTGAGGAGCCAAATCTTCCCGTGGGAGCCTGAGGGGAAACTCAAAAAGGTCCATTAGCTCAGTCAGGTGCCTCGACAGGAAAAATCAAGCCAGGCCCACCTGCATGTTACAGGATCACCTAAGAGATCGCACACCTGGCAAAACGTGCTCACGGATAACACTCAACCAACAGGGACAGAGCATTTAACACACCAGACCAGAGCAGTGGCCAATCGGTTCCAGTATCCTGCCCCCAGCTGTGGCAATGGCTTTCTGCTTCAGTGGAACTGCAAAGAGAACCCAATAATACCCTAGACAGCTGTACAATGCTGGCTGCATGCTGGGAGGAGAGTCTAAAGTCATTCAGCCTCCACTTTTACAATCCAGCTGGACAATTGGACTCTCTGACCCCTGCAACTTTGAATTGCATGGGCTATTTCTTACACCCACAGTGAAATAGGGTAGCTATTATGCTAAGTAATATATATTCCACTGAGCTGGAGGGGTAACAAAAACGGGCCGGTTTTGTTCAATATCTTCATAAATGATCTGGAGGATGGTGTGGATTGCACCCTGAGCAAGTTTGTAGATGACACTAAACTGGGAGGAAAGGTAGATACGCTGGAGGGTAGGGATAGGATACAGAGGGACCTAGACAAATTAGAGGATTGGGCCAAAAGAAATCTGATGAGGTTCAACAAGGACAAGTGCAGAGTCCTGCACTTAGGACGGAAGAATCCCATGCACAGCTACAGATTAGGGACCGAATGGCTAGGCAGCAGTTCTGCAGAAAAGGACCTGGGGTTACAGTGGACAAGAAGCTGGATATGAGTTAACAGTGTGCCCTTGTTGCCAAGAAGGCCAATGGCATTTTGGGATGTATATGTAGGGGCATTGCCAGCAGATCGAGGGACGCGATCATTCCCCTCTATTTGACATTAGTGAGGCCTCATCTGGAGTCCTGTGTCCAGGTTTGGGCCCCACACTACAAGAAGGATGTGGAAAAATTGGAAAGAGTCCAGTGGAGGGCAACAAAAATGATTAGGGGACTGGAACACATGAGTTATGAGGAGAGGCTGAGGGAACTGGGATTGTTTAGTCTGCGGAAGAGAAGAATGAGGGGGGATTTGATAGCTACTTTCAGCTACCCGAAAGGGGGTTCCAAAGAGGATGGATCTAGACTGTTCTCAGCGGTAGCGGATGACAGAACAAGGAGTAATGGTCTCAAGTTGCAGTGGGGGAGGTTTAGGTTGGATATTAGGAAAAACTTTTTCACTAGGAGGGTGGTGAAACACTGGAATGCGTTACGTAGGGAGGTGGTGGAATCTCCTTCCTTAGAAGTTTTTAAGGTCAGGCTATACAAAGCCTTGGCGGGGGTGATTTAGTTGGGGACTGGTTCTGCTTTGAGCAGGGGGTTGAACTAGATGACCTCCTGAGGTCCCTTCCAACCCTGATATTCTATGATTCCATGATAAGAAACAGGGACTTTTTGCTTATATATTACAGTGACAGACACCTTAAAAACCCCGAGTTGTGACAGACAGATAGGATACAGAGATGACTAGATTAGGATAGATGACCAGTTCTAGGGGCAGGCCCCTAGTATTTACTTGTATACGTTTACAGAAAGTGAGCACATAAATAGACAATAGCACAGACTGATATTTTCAGTCTGTCAAGAAAAAAGAAAGAAAGAAAGAAAGAAAGAAAGAAAGAAAGAAAGAAAGAGTGTACAACTGTGATAAAAAAAATGGCAGTTGACATGATGTCACATGAGATCAGCTGAGCTGATCTAAATTTTGTGAACTTAAATTTTTTGTTAAAATTTTCATTGAAAATTCAAAATTTCAATGAAAAAAATAACCTCCTGAAAAGTTTGGGTGAAAATTCTCTCACTTTTCCAACCAACTGCCGAGAAACTGGGATCTGGCAACATTTCCAAAACCCAGTAAAACCATTTTCACACCGGTTCTTTCAGTGGTTTCGAGACCCGCTCTAGACCCAGCTCTCCTGTCACCATATCTATGCTTTATGGCAATGGTAAAACCTCCCTCTTACTTGTGCATCGGAGGGAGACGTATTTTCCCGTGGGACACTTGGAGCTGCAGGAGAGAACAAAACAAACGAGAGACAAAGTCAAACATGGACCCAGGCTGAGACAGCACAAGAGAAAGAGTCCGAGTGGATGATCCCTCACCCTCCTGTCCATCCTAACATGCTCAGCCAGCATGTAAGCAACACAGATTCTCTCTTGTTGTTCAGTAAAGAGAAATGGGAGTTCTCTACGAGATCACGTCTCCCCTTCACTTCCTGGAAAATCCCTTCAGGTTGCCTTTCTCTGTCTCACTGCTGCAGCCCCACCTCTGGCAGGTGCACACAGTGGCAGACAGACAGAGGATGACTATTTTGGAGCCACTCCAGATTTACACTGGTGTAAAGTGAGACCAGAGTTTGTTGTTCCAAGGTGCTTCGGCTCCCTTAAGCACCAGGCACCCGTGGGCCATTGCTAAAGCATGGGCCACTCTCCAGCAGGCTCAGACCTGCCCTGACTTTCCTTGCGGGCACATGAAGTTTTGCCTGGGTTCCCGCCGCAGAACGAGTGCACTTCATGGTTCTCTCAGAAATCCAGCTGACGAGAGACGGCTCAGATTGCTCCTCTGGCCGTTAGCGCTCCCATCCCATTAGGGCCGCAGAGCTTGTGCTACAGGCCTCCCCTCCCTTTCCTGGAATTGCTGGAAAAGCTGCCACGGTGGAGGGGCTCCGTGTGCCCCCCTCCGAGCAGGGCTGCCAGACTGGGCCAAGGCGACAGAACACTGTCTCCTTTCTAAAGCAAAGAGCCCAGTCTTGCCAGGTTGCCAGCTCTGGTGCCCAGCCCTGCCCCCTGTTTTTGTTCCGGTGTCCACAGCGACCTCAGGCCTTTTTCCCCCGAGTTCGTTCAGAGGGGACCGTGCAGCGAGTGCCATGGGCAGAGAGGGGCCCCGAGGGCACTAGAGGACACGGGGAGGAGCAGGGAAAAGGCAACTGATCCTCTTCATTACCTGTTGAGACTCTGCTGGATCGAGGGGTGCTCCTTGGTGACAGTGAGGCTTTTGCCAGGGAAGGAGGCTGGCACGTACTCTGTGCTGAATGTGCTGGGAGGAGACAGAACAGACATGTCATGCTGCCAGGGTTCCTTAATTCTCGCTCCGCAAAGGGAAAATCAGGCATGCAGCAGAGGGGCTAAAATCCCGTAGCCCAGAGCGGGGCATCTCCCCCCGCTGCTGCCACTCACACTGAACTGCAGGGTGGTGCTGTGATGGGGCCCTGGCACTCGAACCCCGCAAAGCGCTAGTTCACGAGTACCCCACTCTGGATTAGAACCTCAGTCTTCACCCACTGTCCGTTTAGAACAACCCCCTGCTTGGGTCACCAGAGGGGCTTGAACCCAAGCGCCCCAGAGCAAACAGCAAGGGCCTCAAAGGTACAGCTCCACTGCAATAAAAGATCCATGGCTTGGGCTTGCGGGGCTGAGGCTGCAGGGCTAAAAGTTGCTGTGACCCTCCCCGGGTCCCTGAGCCCAAACATCTATCCCACAATTAAAGAGCCCCATGAGCCTGAGTCAGCTGACCTAGGCCAGCTGTCGGTGTTTAGTTGCAGTGGAGACAGACCCATTAGCTGGCAGCTGCAGTAGCCAGATGTGAACCACCCACTAGAGGGTGGCAAAGATCCAAACTCCTAAAGTGGGTTGCACTTAGTGTGACCAGACTGGAAGTGTGAATAATCGGGACAGGGGATGGGGGGTAATAGGTGCCTATATAAGACACAGCCCCAAATATCAGGACTGTCCCTATAAAATCGGGACATCTGGTCACCCTAGTTGCACTAGAGCTAAGGCTGGTCTATCCTGGGGATTTTTGCATTGCTGCACTGACAGTTTAGCCATACAGATGCAAATCCTAGTACACATGCACTGCACTAGTGTAGAAAGTTATTTGCACCATTGCTTGTGAAAACAACCTGGGTAACCTGCACCAGTTCAAGTCACTTCTTGCAAGGGTCCTGTGCATCTGCACTGGGGGTGGGGGGGAGTTTGCAATGGGATAGTGCAGCTACACGGGGGTTTCCCACTGCAGACAAGCGCCTTGACTCCCCTTCCAATAACAGCCGTGCATGGATCAGTGCTATTCCCCGCCATTCCCAGGTCAGGTTCCCCTTGCTGCAAACCCCGAGGTGACTTAGCGAACGCCATACAGGGAAGGTGCAGAGAGAAACAGGAGGAGTCCATGCAACCCTCAGCAGCTAGCAACCACAGAGCAGTGGCAAAGGAGGGGGAAGTACCTGGTGGCCGGAAGGAAGCCATTGTGGGAGAGATTTTCAAAGAACAAAGGGCTGGTAGGGGCCCAGTGGCATTGCCGGGGGGCTGAGTACTTCACTCTCCCTTGTGCCTTTGGAAAGCTCCCCCTGGATATGGGGAGCCCAGGAGCAGGTCATTTTGGGCGTGGGCTGGGTTTCTGGCTTCCATCCCCCATCACTACACGCACAGTGCCCGTCTCTGGGGACCTACCTTTGAAATCCCAGTTGCTGGCAGGTCTTCCTGGAGAAGGAGTCGTTCCAGGCGCTGCTGCAGACAGGCAGCCACTGATTCTCGGTGCTGGAGTAGACGTGGAGCAGAGACTGATCCCACCTGAACCGAACTGCAGGCCCAGAGGAAGGAGACAGCAGAATCAGCAGGGGCTACAGGCAGCATTGCAGCTCCAGCTCACCCTCTGAGACAGGCACCTGGGCCTGGCAAAGAGCCCAGCCCACTTGTACCAGGGCTGAACTTGGGCCCTTGTGTCATGATCATGCACAAAAACTGGCAAATGACCAGCCTGATTCCCCTCTCCTGCCCACAGGTGTAAATCAGGAGCAGCCCCACTGAACTGACAGAGTTCAACGGGCGCCAGGCCCAGGGGCGTGAGGAGAAGCCTGCCCCTGCGCTTTGCATCCATGGGCATGGCACATTCTGTGAATGGATGTGCAGTGTGACTGTGAGCTCCACCCCAGCCCCAGGTGACAGCTGGGGACCAAAGGCCTGTTTCTCCAGGGGGCAGGGGCAGCCAAAGTCAGAACTAGCATCCTGCGTGCAGCCCCAGCCAACGTGCCTCACCCTGTTCACTGGAAACCAGTGCAGGGAGAGCCCAGCTCAGCCTCTTTGTCCCCTCCAGCCTTGATCTCCCTGAGGTGCTGTCAGCGGGGCCAGGTGTGTGTAATTGGTGCCAGTTCTGAATCCCCCTGGAAATTGGGAGCACCAGCTAACCCCACACAAGCCTCACCAGAGTCATCACATGCAGCAGCTTCAGGCACTGCCCAAAATGTGAGAGCAAACATCAGGTCTGTGGCTACACCCTGCCAGCCCAGCCGCTGCCCCCTCTCACGCCAGGGGCCCCAGCTCCTCCCAGGTCCTGCACATCGGGGGTCCCAGCATTCCCTGGGCCCCATGCCATCTTTGGCAGCAGTGCAAACTCCTGCCCCAGAGATCTGGTCACGTCTGGGGGCTCGCTCGGAGCCTAGAGCACAAGGCCCTAAGACAGGGCATGGATGAAAGCAGCAGCATGACTCCAGAGCCTGTCCCGCTCCCCACTCGCCCTGCAGGACACCTGCGTCCCAGCTGTGTTACCGCAGTCCAGCTCATCACTCTTCTGGGAGCAGTCGACCACCCCGTCACAGCGTACGGCTCTGTGGCTGCAGCTCTCAGTTGGCTCCTTGTACAGAAAGCCGGTGTTGGACCGCCAGAACAGGACTGCAAGCAAACACACAGAGGTGAGCTGGAGAGAGTTGGGCGGGAGGTCACCTGCGCTGGGAGGGGATATTTCCGGCCAGCCAATTCCATCCCAGGCCTGGCAGCTCCTTCACCCCAGGCCCCAGACACCCCAGCTGGTGCATGGTCAGGGTTGCACTAACCTGGGCTGGATTCTTTGGAGCAGTCGCTGTTGTGGTTGCTCCAAAGTCCCGGTCAGGGGCATAGAGAGGATGCTCCCCAGGCACAATCCCCCTCACATGGTATCCTGCTCCAAGGTTTGCAAGCAATAAAGAGCAGGGTCACTCAGCCTGATGCCCCTCCCCCTGATGCCCCCACACTCAAGCCAAGTGATTGTCAACTCAAGCCCCCACCCCTATTATCAGTGCTACAACCCGCCCCAACCCCTGCTCTCCACGAGGAACTGTCTGGAAAACTGGACAGACAAAACTCTTTCTGAAACCTCCAGAACCTGGCCCCCTAGAAACGCAGCCAGGCTCAGTCCCAAAGGGTCACAGACCCACACGCACTCAGACGACGTGTGGCCCATTTACGGTTTGTGCTGGGTTCAGGCAAAGCTCGGTGGTCGCTAGGAGGAAGCAAGTGGAAGTCAACTGAGTTTCCCTTTGCAGTTTTGGGCTCCCCTGAACCAGAGCTCAGAGGGACGTGAATCCACATGGACGACACCCAGAAAAGAGTTCACAGTCCAAACACTGAATGCAACGTCTGAGCCTGGATCATGGTTCACAGCTCAAACCTCAGGCTGTTATAGGCCAAATCTGACTGGGCATCTTCTGAGCCAGGGTTCTGCCCTTGGGATCTCAAGGTCAGATCCAGAGTTTGCTTTAGGCCAATCTCTAGTTCACCTGATCCCCACCCTTGTCCCAGGATATCCAAAACTGCTGCATTTGACTCAGCTCCATTCAAAATCCATTCTCACTTCACGCAGTTTTAATTTGCATCTGCAAAATATTCGCCCAGTAAAAATGTTTTGAATCCACTTGATACAGCACGGGCTCAATAATGCAACTGATAAAAGGAAAACTAGCAGCTAGATTTGACAAAGGAATTTTAAAAAAATAACCGCTTCATCATCTGTAAAACCTGGAAAATAACTTTTCGGTCTCTGCTGATTTTCCCTTTCCATTTGGTGAGCTCTTACTAATTCCCCGCTGGCTGTGTGCCTGGCACAGAGATTAACTCAGAGTAGGAGGGACTAGCATATGTGCTGATGGCTGTGGCCACACCTGAAAATATTTACAGGAAATGGAAAGTGTTGGCCTTATCTAAACATCTAACCATCTGCCTCTGATTACTTGGGTGCATGTCACATCTAAAACACTAGGCAGAAAGATGTTGTTTTAATTTCCTTGTGAAATTCTTTGCTCCCAGGTGTCCAGCAGATGTCAGGAAAACTCAAGAAATAGAAGGATGGAGGCATCTCACCACCTGGGCCATCTTTCCAGGAATCACATCCTTAGCACTGCAGCTGCATTGCCTCCTTCTGACAGCCAGGCAGTGCCATTATGTGCTAGCCTGTAGTTCCCAGGCTGTGGCTGGAGTTGACAGGAACAATTATCAAACCCACCCAGGGGGATATGAAGAGCTAGAAGGAGTGGGGACCAGCTGAGCTCCTAATTAACCCCCTTCTAGTCTGTTATCAGTCTCAAATCAATGGTGTTAAACCAAGAGGTTGTATATGATGCAGAAAATACAGACCATAAATCTCTAGTCCATGTCTGTTAAGCTGAGCCCAGAGTGGAACATCAGATCTGAACCGTCTTCAGTCTCGGGGGAACTTTGGACCCAAATCAGAAAATCCCAGCTCATGTCCCTCTATAACGGGCCAATCTGAGCAGCCTTGAATTTTAGGGGAGCATGGGTGCTGACACAAGCTTTACAACAACTCAGACCTATGTCTCATTGCACGATGGGACAGGCCAGAGGTAGCATATGCTGGGCAGGTTAAAGAATGTGAGAATGGGGAAATGGCTTTCATTTCTGGCTCTCCAAAGCCCACTGGAATCAGTGAGAGTCTTTGTATTTATTTGAAGGAGCTCTGAATCAGGTCCTTAAGTACTTGTCTTCTTTTCAGGGTTAGCTCCTTACTCATAGTGGGGAGGGGCGTTTGCCAAGTAACTCGGGTGGAAAGGCTAAGACAACTGTTCTGGGTGAAACCCAGATTTCTCAGTACATGAACTGTGTATAGAAGAAGATAGTGTACTCTCACAGGAGTTTAATGAGGTGTCATTTTAAAAAGTGCAGATTAGCACTAGAATCTGTTAAAAATAGAAAGCAAATGCATATCCCAACAGCAGGGCACTAGACACTGAAATTCAACACAGAAATAATCTTTCCACGTAAAAATGCACCACAGCTCACTACAGTGACATCGCCAGTGTGCAGTAATGCTGACACCAAAAATAATTTACAACGCAGCGTTTGGGCTGCGCACAGATGCAGTTCTGGGATGGGGAGAAGTGGGGATTTGAGGGAGAAACTTTGGCCAATCCCCTATGCTTAGGCAAAGGGCCCCAGGGCATGTGATGCCTCTGCTGAGTGTACAGGCCCTGTGAGTTGAGAACTACACATTCAGGTGCATGGAACCCCGTTGGTTCCTCACCCATGGCTAGCAGGGCCAGCCCAGCTCAGCCCCAGTGAGCGTTCCAGCGTTAGCAAACGTGAAGGTTAGGCCAGTGAGCCATCCCCTCCTGCGACCGCAATCCGAGCAGCACTGGAGAGAGCTCGAGGAGTTGGTCAGATGATTATTTCTGCAGGGATTTTCTCCATTTCCTTTTACAGGCTGTCGGGTTCCCTCCTGTTAGCGTTTCTAGTCCCAGAACCCTGCTGGCAGGCCAGTGGCTGTGCTTGGCCTGCCCAAACCCAAAGCTGGGTGACATATTTCCCGCAGCGGGCCAAGCCCCTAGATGGGCGCAGGGACTTGGCCTGCACCCCAGGATATGCCAGTTTTGCTGGTGGCTAACGAAGGGGAAAGGACTCACAGAGCAGGATGAAGGCAATGAGCAGGACTATCAGAAAGGAGAGGCAAAGGATCAGCACCAGCTTCTTCTGGCCCACGCACGACGAGGCCTTGCACCTTGCCGCTGGGGACACTGGAGATTGGGATGACAGAAACACAGTTACTAGCACACATGGTTGCCGAGACATTCCCACCCAAGCTCCTCCCCAACGGAGAGGAGGGATGCTCAGCCCTTTGGACACGGCAGTGGTGTTACCTAGGCCTGCGGAGGGATGTCTGGGGATGTGCGATTGCTCCTTCGCCAGCAGGCACATGCCATTTCTGAAAGGCAGGGGAGCAGGTGTCCCTAACACACACCGTTCCTTCTACAGCCCAGGGATCCCAGGCTAGCTGCTTCCCACTGTGACTAGACCTCCGGAGAGCAGCCTGGGCAGAGGCAGTGCAAGGATCCCAAGGCTTCTCCTGCCAATACGCCCGGGCTCCTGCTAGGGCTGAGAGAGGCTTCGTTCTCCTAGCACATTCATTCCTTGGTCCCTCTGCTGGGGCTGACAACCCAGCTGCTCACCCCAGTGTTTTCTGGGACCCAAAAACGCAGGTCACATGGGCCACCGCACAGGGGCGCTCCGTCACGGCAGACGTGGGCTGGATTTGAACTGGCAGCCTCCAGGTGAAAGGCTAGATTAGCCCATACCATCATTGTCCCCATTACGGGTAATTTTAGTGTAAACCCTGGTTCTCACAGGCAGGATGTACAGGCCATCCACGTCACCTCCCCATTCCTCAAAGCAGGGCGCATCCCACCCTTGGGCCAGGTGCAGAGGTGATGCACAAGGTGCTGTGAGTACAGCTCCTGACACTAGCCAGGTAGAGCCAGGCCACAGGCATCTAAGTGAGTGCAAAGGAGTGTAACGTACACCCCTTACACATCGCTCTGCAGGAGGGCAATGCCCCTGGGCATTCCCTCCCCTCCTTCCACTGCTGCCACCGCATCCCACGGGCCGCAGGGAGCCTGCCAGCTCCCTGCTGAGGGTGTTCCTTTTAGCCAGCCGAGGGTGATGGGACACAGTCACTGGAGCTCTGCGTATGAGACTGACTATCCAGTCCTATCTCCCAGTCAGCTCTCCCAGCGTGGCAGGGGCTAATGCATGGACGACTGGGGCTCACAATTCCAAGGCTGGCTGGAAGCACACGCCCAACCTCTCCAGGAAGCAAGGACTTCCCAATAGCTGTAGCTGCCAAGAGACCTGCCCCACCCATCTTACTTGTGTTGTCACAAACCACATATCGTGGTGGAGCCAGTCCAGACTCTGGAGCGCACGGCATGAAGTTGCTCCCACAGACCCTCTCTCGTGGATGTGCAGACGGGGTGGCGATGGGGCAACTGACTCACAAGGCATAGGGGTTGGGAGCGAGGCTGCTGTTTGGCAGAGCCAGACTGATCTGTAGGTAAAGAAAACACCATCACTCACACACACTACTGGAGATTCCCTGATGATAGCTCCCTGTAGCCAAAGGCCAGCCTGGGTGCCCAGGGAAAGCTAGAAGACTTGCCTTCACGAAGCAAGAGCTCATTTATGCAGCCAGGAAATCCAAGTAGCAGAGCTTCCCGAAGGAGCTGGCTGGCTTTGGCAGCCGAACATCCCAGCAGAAGTACCTCCAGAGTACAACGGGCCAGCTTATGGAGGCAAAGAAAGCCCAAGAGGTGCCTCTTCCCAGAGCTCTTGTTGAGCTGGAAAATGCTGAGCGTCTCTGCAAAGAATCACGCTGCATCATTCTGGTTTTTCTCCTTTTGGAGGCTGACAACCAGATTTTCCAAGCTGATCACCTAGCTCAGGGCATCTGATTACATGTTTGGTACTCAGCTCAGTCACTGGTGGCTCGTTTCCCTGTCCAGTGTCTCAGTGCCCATGTGAGAACCCAGGTGAGGAATTAGGTGCCCCAATTTATGTACCCAGGTTTGGAAACTGAGTATCTATCATTATATAAGTCCTCTGAGTCACTCATTCAGAAAATGCCAATGTAACTTCCAGTTGTTATTTAGTAACATTTCATAATTGGTGTTCCAAGCCCGAAACTTCCTGAGCCCTGGAATGCTGCTCTGCAATTATGTCACAACTGATCAGTGTGAATATGGGACTAAATATTTATCTCCTCTACCCAAATTCATCTCTCCTGAGTGCTTTATTAATTTAATCCAGATACGTGTGTCATGTTCCCCCATTTCTCCTTGGAGAGAGCCTGAGCTTTGAATTTAGAACAAACATTGGTTTTGCTGCTAATGTGGGTTCTGTTTTAAATCCCTGGCTAATTTTAGCAGTAAAAAAGTCACATGCAACAGAGAACTTGCAAAAAAGAAAATTTCACTTGTGCAGGGAGGGAGCCCAGGAATGGTGCAGCAACCACCAGAATTTGCTATGAGTCAGCCTTTTGATATAGTTCGTGCAAAGGGGAAACAAGTCAGATGTTTATGGTTCATAAACATTGAGTTCATAGTTCCTTCTCCATGTGAAAAATGCAAGGGCTATATCCTTTGGGGTCTTTCTCCTGGGGGGGTTCCACTCATTTTCAGTGCTTACTTATGATTTGTCCCACAGAAACTCTCTCAAAACCTTAATTCGTGACATAAGCAACAGACCTGGAAAGATCTGGCTTGACCCAAAGCAGCTGCTTCCCCAGCGAGGTGTTGAGTGAGGGAGAATACTCACCCAATGAAAGAAGGCAGAACCATTCCATCATCAGGACAGACATCCATTGTTTAATCTGAGATCCTGGGCACTAACCTTTTCAAGGGCATTGGACACATCACTGTGATGGAAGTGAGCCTGAGCTGTTAGGTTTGAGCCTGAACCGTTGGCCTTTGGGATTTTTCTGATGCCCATCTCTACACAACATACAGTATCGCAAAGGAAGGGTGTATGCCATAAGCAAGGGACATGCCATCGGACAAGCCAGCGCTTAATACCGTTCTGCCAACCCCAAACATTCAAAAATCGTGAGTCAGGCTCCAAAAAGTCATGAGATCAGCTTAAATTCATATCTTTGGAGTTCCTTCCATTTGCCCTCTGGCTTAAGAGCCTGTAGGGGTCACTTTTTCAAGCTTCAGAGGAACAGCCGTGTTAGTCTGTATTCGCAAAAAGAAAAGGAGTACTTGTGGCACCTTAGAGACTAACCAATTTATTTGAGCATGAGCTTTCGTGAGCTACAGCTCACTTCATCAGATGTATACCGTGGAAACTGCAGCAGACTTTATATACACACAGAGAATATGAAACAATACCTCCTCCCACCCCACTGTCCTGCTGGTAATAGCTTATCTAAAGTGATCAACAGGTGGGCCATTTCCAGCACAAATCCAGGTTTTCTCACCCTCCACCCCCCCACACAAATTCACTCTCCTGCTGGTGCTAGCCCATCCAAAGTGACAACTCTTTATATAATCAAGTCGGGCTATTTCCTGCATAGATCCAGGTTTTCTCACATCCCCCCCACCCCCATACACACACAAACTCACTCTCCTGCTGGTAATAGCTCATCTAAACTGACCACTCTCCAAGTTTAAATCCAAGTTAAACCAGAACATCTGGGCGGGGGGGGGGGGGTAGGAAAAAACAAGAGGAAACAGGCTACCTTGCATAATGACTTAGCCACTCCCAGTCTCTATTTAAGCCTAAATTAATAGTATCCAATTTGCAAATGAATTCCAATTCAGCAGTTTCTCGCTGGAGTCTGGATTTGAAGTTTGTTTGTTTTAAGATAGCGACCTTCATGTCTGTGATTGCGTGACCAGAGAGATTGAAGTGTTCTCCGACTGGTTTATGAATGTTATAATTCTTGACATCTGATTTGTGTCCATTTATTCTTTTACGTAGAGACTGTCCAGTTTGACCAATGTACATGGCAGAGGGGCATTGCTGGCACCATCATGTGCCAGCAATGCCCCTCTGCCATGTACATTGGTCAAACTGGACAGTCTCTACGTAAAAGAATAAATGGACACAAATCAGATGTCAAGAATTATAACATTCATAAAGACAGGTTTCAGAGGAACAGCCGTGTTAGTCTGTATTCGCAAAAAGAAAAGGAGTACTTGTGGCACCTTAGAGACTAACCAATTTATTTGAGCATGAGCTTTCGTGAGCTACAGCTCACTTCATCAGATGTTTACCGTGGAAACTGCAGCAGACTTTATATACACACAGAAAATATGAAACAATACCTCTTCCCACCCCACTGTCCTGCTGGTAATAGCTTATCTAAAGTGATCAACAGGTGGGCCATTTCCAGCACAAATCCAGGTTTTCTCACCCTCCACCCCCCACACAAATTCACTCTCCTGCTGGTGCTAGCCCATCCAAAGTGACAACTCTTTACATAATCAAGTCGGGCTATTTCCTGCATAAATCAAGGTTTTCTCACATCCCCCCCACCCCCATACACACACAAACTCACTCTCCTGCTGGTAATAGCTCATCTAAACTGACCACTCTCCAAGTTTAAATCCAAGTTAAACCAGAACATCTGGGGGGGGGGGTAGGAAAAAACAAGAAGAAACAGGCTACCTTGCATAATGACTTAGCCACTCCCAGTCTCTATTTAAGCCTAAATTAATAGTATCCAATTTGCAGGTGGGTATTGTAGTTGTAAGAAAGCTTGACAGAGATCTTGTAGGTGTTTGTCTCTGTCTGAGGGGTTGGAGCAAATGCGGTTGTATCGCAGAGCTTGGCTGTAGACGATGGATCGTGTGGTGTGGTCAGGGTGAAAGCTGGAGGCATGCAGGTAGGAATAGCGGTCAGTAGGTTTCCGGTATAGGGTGGTGTTTATGTGGCCATTGTTTATTAGCACTGTAGTGTCCAGGAAGTGGATCTCTTGTGTGGACTGGACCAGGCTGAGGTTGGTGGTGGGATGGAAATTGTTGAAATCGTGGTGGAATTCCTCAAGGGCTTCTTTTCCATGGGTCCAGATGATGAAGATGTCATCAATATAGCGCAAGTAGAGTAGGGGCTTTAGGGGACGAGAGCTGAGGAAGCGTTGTTCTAAATCAGCCATTAAAATGTTGGCATACTGTGGGGCATACCTGCATGCCTCCAGCTTTCACCCTGACCACACCACACGATCCATCGTCTACAGCCAAGCTCTGCGATACAACCGCATTTGCTCCAACCCCTCAGACAGAGACAAACACCTACAAGATCTCTGTCAAGCTTTCTTACAACTACAATACCCACCTGCAGAAGTAAAGAAACAGATTGATAGAGCCAGAAGAGTTCCCAGAAGTTACCTACTACAGGACAGGCCTAACAAAGAAAATAACAGAACGCCACTAGCGGTCACCTTCAGCCCCCAACTAAAACCCCTCCAACGCATTATTAAGGATCTACAACCTATCCTAAAGGATGACCCAACACTCTCACAAGTCTTGGGAGACAGGCCAGTCCTTGCCTACAGACAGCCCCGCAACCTGAAGCAAATACTCACCAACAACCACATACCACACAACAGAACCACTAACCCAGGAACTTATCCTTGCAACAAAGCCCGTTGCCAATTGTGCCCACATATCTATTCAGGGGACACCATCACAGGGCCTAATAACATCAGCCACACTATCAGAGGCTCGTTCACCTGCACATCCACCAATGTGATATATGCCATCATGTGCCAGCAATGCCCCTCTGCCATGTACATTGGTCAAACTGGACAGTCTCTACGTAAAAGAATAAATGGACACAAATCAGATGTCAAGAATTCTAACATTCATAAACCAGTCGGAGAACACTTCAATCTCTCTGGTCACGCAATCACAGACATGAAGGTCGCTATCTTAAAACAAACAAACTTCAAATCCAGACTCCAGCGAGAAACTGCTGAATTGGAATTCATTTGCAAATTGGATACTATTAATTTAGGCTTAAATAGAGACTGGGAGTGGCTAAGTCATTATGCAAGGTAGCCTGTTTCCTCTTGTTTTTTCCTACCCCCCCCCAGATGTTCTGGTTTAACTTGGATTTAAACTTGGAGAGTGGTCAGTTTAGATGAGCTATTACCAGCAGGAGAGTGAGTTTGTGTGTGTATGGGGGTGGGGGGGATGTGAGAAAACCTGGATCTATGCAGGAAATAGCCCGACTTGATTATGTAAAGAGTTGTCACTTTGGATGGGCTAGCACCAGCAGGAGAGTGAATTTGTGTGGGGGGTGGAGGGTGAGAAAACCTGGATTTGTGCTGGAAATGGCCCACCTGTTGATCACTTTAGATAAGCTATTACCAGCAGGACAGTGGGGTGGGAGGAGGTATTGTTTCATATTCTCTGTGTGTATATAAAGTCTGCTGCAGTTTCCACGGTAAACATCTGATGAAGTGAGCTGTAGCTCACGAAAGCTCATGCTCAAATAAATTGGTTAGTCTCTAAGGTGCCACAAGTACTCCTTTTCTTTTTGCGAACA